CAATTGAACATGAAATGGGGCCAGTCTGGGAACTTGATCAGATTTAACCGACTGTTTCATTGCTAATCCTGCTCAGAGCATTGGGTGTAGCTGCGCATTTGGCTTTTCAGTGGCTTAGCTTGTGTGGCCAGAATCTCTTTTCCCCAAAGCAAAAAGAGAGGATTTGCTTCACTGCTCTCTATATTCTTTCCATGTTTGCGTTAGTGTGTGCCTTGTGGGTGTTTGGATTGGCCATGTAGTCAGGAGAAGCACACATAAGTTGAGTTGAAATAAGTTGCCGATAGTTGTACAATGGCTATTTGGGATGGCTGTGGGATGTAGTCAGCAGTCTGGAACCGATATGACCCTAGAAAGAAAATATTTTTTAGTTTCTGTACTGCGTAAGAAAGATAAGATATTTCAGACAATTCTGAGGTAAAGGTTATAAACCATTTTATATAGCTTAAGGCTCATATTGCAAAACCTGCCAAAATTTCATTGGAACTGTTGTCATTTTATTTAAAAGTTTTCATTTTCCTGGCCACCCTTTTCAATCAAATAATGAAGGATTAAGTTAAAGCTATCTCTAGATGGTTGTTTTGCTTAGTTTGCTTAGTTTTTGTGAATCAGTGAAAGACATTGCTCCTCTAAGTCAGTGTTTCCCAAACTATTTTTCTGGGGACCCATTTTAAAAGTCACAAACCTTTGCAACCCAAGTCAATAGACATTATTCATAAATCACAAAATAAAGGTGAATTTGAGCATTATTGAACATTAATGAGGATATTTTATTTTTGACTGACTGATTGTGTTTCTCTGAACAATTAGTCATTGAACCAGCAATAAAAGGATCCATAGGTCGCCTATTTGCACTTTAAATGTAGCCCATTTCTTTTTCTTTTCAACATTAATTTGAACCAGCAATATTGGAACAAAATAGTCAATAAAATAATTACAAAAGATAAGAAATTATACAAAACATGTCTTAACATTTCAACATTTCTAATGATATTAAGTGGACCTGTCTGTGTTTCGGTAACGCGTTTCAGTCCGGGGTGCAGGAGGAGAGCGCAGCATGTACATCAGGAGCAGCATTCACTCTGTTTCTCTGCTTTGTCTTCATTTTTATGAGCACAGAAAATCTCAAATCACACATATATGTATTAGTGAAAAGAATTAGCATAGAAGAAAATTTATATTGTAGACCTACACACAGATCAAGGTGACCCCCAAAAAATCTCTTGTGACCCACCTGAGAGTCACGATCCAGTCTTTGGGAAGCAATGCTCTAAATGGTTACATTGTTACTGTAAAAGTTGAGTAACTTTTGCAGTAGGGGATCCGTCACCTGCTTGTCTCAATGTAAATATTATTGCATTGCTTAGAATGTCCCACATTGCAGTATGGCATTAAACTAATAATATCCCCATGGAAACAAGCAGATAACACCATCAGGCCAAGTTACAGGTCAGTTCAATGGAATGGCAACTCTGCTTACAGTAAGAGTGCATATCTTTTTTTTTTTTTTTTGAGCAACAAAAACACCTGTTATGAAATAAATAAGAAACATAATGCAATACTGTGGAACATTGCTGGCAATGCGATAACATCTCCATGGAGACAACGCAGTAGCGAACCCTCCACCAGTAAAGTTACACAGTGCACCTTTATAATCCAGCAATACAAGTCAAGAGCAAAAAGGAGATTTACTAAAAAAAAGAGATGTATGGCAGGAGGGAGGACAGCTTGAGGACGGGGAGGATGGCAGAGTAGTAATGAGGGAAGTTATAAAGGTTAAATATAGCCCAAATATTTTGTTACAACCTACGCATTGATGTTTGTATCTTGGCATAATCTCAAAAAGCAATAACATTTGAATCCTTCCAGCGTAAATTGCCACCTCTAATTTGCACCATAACAAATCATCTGCTGGTGATTTCTAGATTCTACTGTATGTTAATTAGGGATGTAACAATAAGTGAAATATTGTGATATCATATCGTATCACAATAATATGACTATATAAGTCTCTTTGCTTAAATGTATTGTTTTGGAGCAACAATAGAGGCAAAACAGAGGAAACTACATAAAATAAACATAGATCAAGATCATTAAGTACATTAAGAAATAACTGTTATTTAATTAACGGGCCTATATTCATTTTCTGACCTGTTATAATGCCATTTCCTCATCACAACCATACCTGAACTTGTGTTTTGTTTCATTCATAAATGTTTAACACACACATCCATCATATTTAGGCTTCTCTCAAACAGAAAACACTCTATTCCACCTTGAGATGTCATCAAATAATACACGATGTGCTCCAGTGTGTTTTAAAACTCCATACACCTTCACTAGAGTCATAATAGATCATTTCAACCCTGGAATTGCCAGTATCTCCTGAATTAAATGTAAAAGGTAGCGTTAACTTGGAAACTAGTAATGCATGAGGTACATACACCACAAGGTAGAACAGAGCATATTGAACTTTGGAGATGTATCATTTTAATCATCAAGGGTTAATCAAACACAAAACTTTAAGCATTTTTAAATCTTGATTATTTGGATTATGACAGAACCAGACATGCCATGGTATTTTAAGAGGAAAAACTAGCATATGCACAATTTGGTCAACCTCCACAAAGTATCGCAATAACTATCAAACCATGAGATGCATGTCATGAAAATATTGTTCTGAGAGATTTGGATATTGTTGCATCCCTAATCCAGTAGCATCATCTGGGTCAGCAGTTTTCCTTATGAGGTACTGGTCAGACAAACTCAAGTGTCAATAACTGCTTTGTTGCATTTAGATTTGTTTGAGAGCACAAAGGAAATGAGCAGACGCTATTATAGTTTGAGTGCATATTGGTTTTGGCGAAGCGTAATAAGCACTTTCTTAACTTCATTTATCAGGAAGAGAAAATAGGCCACTTGAATGCGTTGGGCTCTGCAGAGAAATGTGAAGCGAACTTGAGCGAAGAATGTCATTTACTGGTGTTTGCAGGGATGCTGTGAGAGCGTTAAGTGTCAGTAAATATGCGTGCGAGGAGTGGACAGTGACATGACGGAGGCAGAGGCAGCACACAGATATGAGATCCATAGACAAGATGTAGGAGGATGACGAGATGATCCTGGGGCAAAGCAGGGGGAGGAGATGATTGCACTGCTATGTATGGAGAGAGAGGCTGTATGTAGGCTGTAGGGCTCTCTAAACACTGTGTACCAGAGATGGAAACTGGATACTTCTTTTCACATTCTTAAAGGGCCCCTATTACCCTATTTACTGATCTATGTTATAATGTTGTTTCCTCTTCACTAACATACCTGGGATTGTGTTTTGTTTCATTCACACATGTTTAACACACAAGCACTACATATTTAGTTCTTCTCTCAAACAGAAAACACTCCAGAAGTGCTCCATTGTGTTTTTAAATTCCATACACTTAACCCGAATCATCTAGGTAATTTCACATCTGGAATTACAAATCCCAGCTAAACAAAAGGTAAAAGGTAGTTGTTAACTTGAGAACTACCACTCCTTGATATCACAGGGTTAAACAAAGCATTTTGAGCTTTGGAGATGTCGACAGACTAATAATAAAGGGCTGCTCAAATGAGTGAATGAAACAAAACACAACTCCAGCTATGTTTCTGATGAGGTAACCACATTATAGTCTTAAAGCTCACAAGAATCAATTTGATGTAACATCGGACCTTTAAATAGACAACACATCCTCCCTCTGAGTATGTATTTTGGGTATGTCTGGACTTCTGTGTCTCTAGTTAGCTATCAAAGTCCAGTCTAAGAGATACAAGAGGTACATGGAGAATTATGCTGTGATACTAACACACCTATGCTCATATTTAAGCATGTTTTTAGATGTTGTTTCATCACATTTCAAACATCCTGTTTAGTCTGCCTCCCTCTCCATCTGTTCAAACACTCTGGTGTGCCCCTCTGGTATATTCCACGGCATTGTAATGCATGAAGTCCATACCTTCAGCAGATGTTTTCACATGTGTACCAGATCATGTGACTGCTGCATTGTACAGTTGAGCACTTTTGAATTATTGCTGTTATTTTAGCTTACAAAGTTGCAAGTAGTTGCAAAATCTAGAATAATATTGTACACAAAAAAGACACAAATGAAAGAAAATAATAATAATAATAATAATAATAAAGTAAATAAATAAATGAGCAAAAAGAAACACACACACACTCGCAACAGTGGATAAAACTGGATATTGAAATTACTCAGCTCACTTACTATCAGGACTCAATATATGGCCTTTCATTGCCTTTTAATTAGAATAAAAAACAAAGTAACTTTTTATCTACTGTGGAAATTATCTAATGCCAAAAGGGGAATGACACCAATTTCAGTGTGAAATTATCAAAAACCAAAAGATATGCAACCCATTGTTAACACCAGAGCTAAGTAACTACACTGAAAGAAATCATAATTAACCTCCTCCCAGTTCATCTTATTAAATTTCAACAAAGCATCCATTGGTGATATCTGAGTTCTTTGGGGGAGGGACAGAATGGTTGATATGCTGTGAAAAACATCACACATCTGCCGGTGAGTACCCCCACTGAGAGAGACACTTTTATGGGCTATGCTGATTAGGAGCTGTTTTCATACACGCAGGCACTATCAAAGTTTAATACAGGTGCCAGAAGGAAGGGCTTACATTATAAATATGAGTTTGGGCTGTGTTTGTTTGTTCACTTGATAGTTAGCATGTTTAAGCCAGAGGGCAACTGCTGCAAAAAGGCTAGACTATGAAACTTCTGGAAATATTTTACAAAAAAAAAATTGCAGACTTGGGTGCGTGACTTTTGATTGAGTAACTTGTACATAGGGCTGTCGCATTAACCGCAAAAATGTATCACCGCGGTACTAAGAGGTCCACCGCGGTGCATGTTGGGCCACCGCGATCTCCGCACGTGACCACGGGTCCATTTTTAGAGACCTGCATACGCCCGCACCTGTTAACATGCCACCCGTTACCACCCTTGCCCATGATAACCCAGGACTAACCCAGGACTAACCCAGGACTAACCCAGGACTAAGGTGCGCCCGCGAAGACCGTCTGCAGGCGAAAGGACCGCCACAGAGCTCCGCGCCGCACGGAGGTAATCGCAGCCGAAACCCGATCGCGCTTTGCGGACACCTGCTCCGCTTGCTCGTGCTAGGGGCTCTCTCTCTCTCTCTCTCTTAAGTACGCGGGTACCCGACCTGGAGCAGGACTCTGACCCGACCGTCCACAATGACCGGCACTTGTTCCAAAGCCAAATGTTACTTCTCCCACGCTACACATGCTATATCCGCGCGACAACCAAGGTATATGTGCATCAGCCGTACTTTTACATCACCGGAGATAGTTCTAGCTGTATTGATGTAAACAAAAACACAGAGTTTCAAGATAGAGCATACTGTTTTAGGATTACTAGTATTTGCAGAAATACTGTTTATAGCAGTTTTTTTTTCATATTAAAAGCCCATTAAGATTATATACTATCTTAGATAAATTTAAAGATACTATCTATAGTTAAATTGACTGTTGTATTCTCACACTTCACCACTAGATCCTATCTGTGTTACTTCTGTCTGATGGAGTGCCAGCTTTGGCCTGACAGAAAAAGACCAGAGCACAGGTGAGTCTGAAGAAAAGACTGGTGAGGGGAGGGGGGCAGGTTTCACATCTGCAATCTACTGGTAACTCCAACAATCTATATAAATTGTTGTAAAGTTCTAAACATACTCCTGTCTTTACCTCATCAATAAGCCTCAAATTTTGCAAAGTTTGTCACCTCCCCTGTCACATATTTATCATTTTAGGAATAGTAGTATTACCAGAGATATTAGTTTTAGCTTCTTTGGCTCTCAAATGAAGAAACAGCTCTTGTTTTCTATAGTTTTCATAAACTGACTGTAAAACCCCATGATGATCACATAACAGCTCGTATAAGGTTTAATAAATAGATGACATGCACTTTATTTTTATATATCTACTACTGAACAAGCTCCTTACCTTCTTCTAGCCAGGCTGGCGCTACCTAGTGCCTCCGCTCAATTTCATTTCTCTCCAGTGACTATAGGTCAGGAATAGGAACACACTAGACCAGGGGTCGGCAACCCAAAATGTTCGAAGAGCCATATTGGCCCAAAAAAACAAAAACCATACTTGCCTGGAGCCGCAAAAAATTAAAAGCCTTATATAAGCCTAATATGAAGGCAACATAGGCTGTCAGTATATTAGCTGTATAAGCCGACTATTAAAATGACTAAGTAGGCTACAAATACAAAATGAGCATTCATGATACACAAACCCCTTTTGCGACCCTCTCATACTCGGTGCGCTGTCTGTAGCCACTGAAATCTGGTGGTTAGCGTTCATTCCTCTGTCATTTAGACCCCGTTTACACGTACACGGGTATTTTTAAAAACGGGGACATTTCCCTTCATTTGTACACATCGTTTCCGGTTTCACATTTGCGTGTAAACCTGTAGCTTTGACGACGATGATGGAAGCATTCAGAGCAGCAGTCACATTTCTTCTGATCGTGCATAGGAGCACTCATAAAACAGCAGCATATGTACGCAACTCCGCGCACATCAGCCCGGAGCAGAAGCTCTGTGCTCGGGCAGCAGCGCCAAATACACGGGGCAGTCATCACGCTGCCCCTCAAGACGGGGCTGGGGGTCCAGTGTTTGTCAGATTGTCCGGAGGCTTCGTCCTCCATGTTCTGGTTCCAGACGGGGGCGAGCAAGACCAGCGCGCAAAGAAATGGGTCTGTACTACAGTGCAGTCATCTGTTCGCTGGTTCCGTGCGGGAAAAGCGAGAATGTGCTGTGGACCACAGGTTCGGGCGGGCTGCTCTGGTCCTCCACGCTCGACCGCGGCTGGTTCCGAGGGGGTGCAAAGCATCCGGACAGAAGCGTGAATCCCGTTTGGTTTTGTTATATGTTGTTCTGAGCGGTCATCTGCGCATGTGGTTTTTTTTGTTTGTTTTTTTCGGGGAAAGCGCTTCTCAGGTGGAGGCACCGGACACCACCCCCCGCTTCAGCTCATCTATTTGTTCTGCTGAAACACTTTTTATGTGTTTGCATTTGCACACACAGCTGATGGATCAGATCCATGACCAGAGATGAACGAGGGTTTTACCCCTAAAGAAACCATATTAAATCAACAACCAAAAAAATCATTCCTTTTCCATTTTCACTCATTTTTGAAAAAGCTCCAGGGAGCCACTAGGGGAGTGCTAAAGAGCCGCATGCGGCTCTGGAGCCAAGGGTTGCCGACCCCTGCACTAGATGGTTCGCAAAAACCCCTGAAGTGCGAGTTCGGGCACCAGCCAATCAGCGAAGAGCCATACATTCTGTGTTGGCAACAATTCCCACGATCGAGGATTTAGAGCCGGAACAAAGAGAATGTTTGGTGAATTTTATCAAGGGGAAGTATGTTATTGCCCTTCTTCCTAGGAGATTTGGGAAAAGATTAATATACCAGTTAGCCCCGTTAGCGGAGCATTACATACATCACGACCAAGTAACAACGATTGGTTAAAATCTTAATGCGGCGATGTCAGACGATTTCTAAGAAGTGAAACCAGCTGATGAATCAGGCTAACCTTCTCCCATCTATAACCCCCAAACTTTAGCTAAGTTCAACAACACAGGCTGTTACTTCTTTGCCCAAGTCTTCACTGTTTTACTCTTCTTGTCACCGCAATACTTGAGCTCCATGTTTCAATCCTTAAACTTTGTTCTGCGGCCGGGGAAACGCTCCCAGGGTAGCCATTAGTGTCTAGAGAGTGCCAAATGAAAAGCTGGAGGGGGTCCCAAAAAGTCCCGATGAAGCACTGGCCTCTTTACACTGCATAGGCGTGAAATAATGGCCTGGTGTAATTGCCCTGAATACTTTATGTGTGCGCCCTCTGAGGTCTGAGAGCCATAATGATACAGCTGGAGTATTGAGTCCGTCCCTGATCCTCCCTTGGCTTTGTCTTGGAGCCTCTTTTATTTGTAAAAAGGTTATGCAAGGCTGAGAATCCCGAATGATTCCCCTAAGATTTAAGTAGATTACTCTTGTTCAACTTTATAGGATGTGTCCTACTTCGAACCAAATGGTTTTAACTTTCTTCCTAAAATAGTCAGATAAGACGCAGCAGGCAGTCAATTCTTTGCTTTAAGTTTTTAGCCCACTGTGCGAGGGGAAAAAAGTTAACATATGTTTGTCTCATTAGTATTCCCAACAGTAATAGCCCCACTCCTGTTGAATAATACTTGAGAGTGTAAGTTCATTATTTATCCCTTGTCTCTTGCCAATGCTGTCTGCGTTCACTATTTACTTTTTAGATTATGTGTTAGTGGTTTGTAGGCAAATCAGCATAGAAATGAAAATCCTGTAACTGTATCTTGATTTTTTTTTGTTTTTTTTTTTTTTTTTATGATTTCCCTCAAGTACCATTTAATTTCACTTGTCTCACAGGATATTGGCGGTAAGACATTACATTAGTGTAGATGAGATGTTGATTTCATCGTCCATCTGTCTCCTTGATAAGATCTTCTTTATTCATTGATTTAATAAATTACTACAGCCTACCTCTCATTTATGCAAATGATCAATTAGCAAAGAAAATAGTTTAAAGTTCTTTTAATTGTTTGAATAAATAAAACATAAATTCAGCTAGGAATAGAGAAATACATTTCCTGTGTACTTCATGCACTCTGCAGTCAGTCAAACTCGGTATGCTAACATTCAGTCCTTACATATGAAAGCTGTCGCTCTCTTTCTCTCCCTCCCTCTCTGTCTCTCTTTCCCTCTCACTCCGCTCTCCCTTTCTCTCTCTCTGTTCTCTCTCTTGTCCCCCCTCACCATCATCTCTGTTGTTCTGGCTCTCTCTCCTCTCTCTCTCTCTCTCTCACTCACTCTCCTCTCATTATCCCTCTCTCTTTCTCTCTCTTTCACCCTCTCACCCCTCTCTCTCTCTCTCCACCTCTCTCTCCTGCTCTCTCTCTTTTCCGCTCTCTCCCTCCTCTCTCTCTCTCTTTCTCTCCATCTCTCTCTCTCTTTCCATCTCTCTCTCCACCCCCCCTCTTTCTTTCCATCTCTCGCGCTCTCTCTCTCTCCATCTCTCTCTCTCCATCTATCTCTCCCTCTGTCTCTCTTCCTCTGTCTCTCTCTCCATCCCCCTTTTCTCTCTCTTTCCATCTCTCCATCTCTCTCTCTCTTTCCATCCCTGTCTCTCTCTCTCACCATATCTCTCTCTCTCGCTCTCCATCCCCCCTCTCTCTTTCCATCTCTGTCTCTCTCTCTCTGTTTCTCTCTCTCTCTCTCTCTCTACCCCCCCATCTCTCTCCATCTCTCTCTCATCTCGCTCTCTCTCTCCATCTCTCTCCATCTCTCTCTCTCTCTCTGCCCCCTTCTGTTTCATCGTTACGTGCCACAATCATCACCTTGTGTAACAGTAAGACTCCCGTACACCTCTCGTCTGTGTTCAGCTCTATCACCACAAATATCATCGCTGCTTTGACAGAGGGCCAGACCTTTGCAAGAAATGTTATTGTCCAAAAGTTCTCAGGCCACATCTTCAGTGACAGCTCAGACAGCGGAGGAATGCAATTCGAAAATACAATAAGAGAGAAACTTCGCTTAAATCAAATAATGAACAGAAAATGTCAGTGCAAATTCTAATGTGCTATACATCTAAATGCACAGTGCTGCCGAGGGTGCTTGAGATGCATTTTTAATGATGACTAACAAGTACATGGAGTTGCTGACAAGTTTCTCTGCAGATTTGTACCCAGCTGCCTGTTCTGGCTGTGACAAGGTCTATGAAATATTGAACTGTTCAGTGAGATCACTTGTCATGTTTCTTGTAGATATGTACTGTGGGACATACAGCTGTGCAGGCCTATTGATTGTGTTATGTGATTACTGTCATTACAAGAATACTGCACATTGTATTCTCCTTTGGTTTGATGCCCCACACTTGCTTAAAAGTCCTATATTACATAAAATGGACTCTTTTGAGCTTCAGGCCATGCCCCCTGTGTTTTGTTTTATTCACACATGTTTGAGTAACTCTTTATTATTCAAGTTACAACAGCTACCTTATACCTTTAGTTCAGTAGAGAAGGGCAATTCCAGGACTGAAATCATCCAAATGATTCTATTGAAGGTGTATGGAGTTTAAAAACACACTGGAGCACTACCTGTATTACCACATCAGAGTGTTTTCAGTTGAAGGAGACAGAGAAACACAGCCTAAGCATGCCTGATTTGAATGTTTAACATGTGTAAATGAAATGAAACACAACTCCAGGTTTGTTTTTGACAAATGAGGCAATGACATTATTACAAATTTCAAAATAGCATAATAAGGGCCCTTTAAGTCCAGATTGACCTGCGCTAGAGATTTGTGTCTGACCTGCTCTAATTACTCCGATTGTGATGGATTTATAAACCTGAAGAAATGACATTGGTGCTGTGCCCTTAATAGCTTTGTAATGAATATTTTAGTCTGTTATAGAAGTTATTTTTGATATAGGAAAGCCTTTGTACTTCAAAAAAAAAAGAAAAGAAGATTCACATTATTTTTGGAAGTAGGCTTCTGTCTGATAGCCCTGATAGCCAGGCTGGCGCCACCTA